CCCAAAGCACCAAGAATACAGAGCATCAGTTGCCCCAGACTGAGAGTTCCTACCGATCCCTTGTGGCTAATAGCCACTGATGGGCCTCTGCTCCATATGTTTATCCAATTCCCTCTTGAAGCCATCCATGCTTGTAGCTGCCACCACCTCCTGTGGCAGTGAAAGTACAGGTAGCAGAAAGGTCCAAGAAAGGCCTTTGTGGTTCAAGATGGGCTTCCTCTGAGAAGGGAACCAGGAGAAGGGTAGGAAACTCCTCAACGAGCTCCATAACAGGCGGGACAAAAGGAGGAGAGAGAAGCCAGAGGCAGGAATGGTCTGCCTGACCGGAGTGCAGCAGGAGAGGGCGTCTGTGGGCGCGAGCGCCTCCCGTTCATAGCCCGGTTGCTCTGCTTTCTTCCTTGCCCCGTCTCCAGGGTGACCCCAACATCCCAGCTGGCCAGCAGACCGTGGAGATCGAGCTGGCGCATCCCATCCGTCTGCCTGACATCGAGAGCCTCGGCAACCTCAGCGAGCTCTCCCGGATCGTCCTGGAGGTGCAGGAGCAAGTGAGGCGGGAGCAGCAGCGGCAAGAGGAGGGCGCCCCGGAGGGCAAGGAGCCGGAAGGGGAGGGCCAGGCTCAGCGGGCGCCCTCCCCGACGGAAGACGACGGGGCGGAGGCCTCTGCCTCAGGAGAAGGGGACGCCGCCCAAGACCCCCCGCAGCCCCCGCAGCCCTTTGTCCTCCCCGGGGGGATCGCGTCCCGGAAAGAGGACTACCCGCGGACCTGCAGAGCCTGGTCAGTGTGCCCCCCCCAGCTAGCTGTTGTGCCTTCCGGCCTCCGTCTGTCTTCTCTGTACATGTCCCTTGCTTAGGACAGGGCCGTCCAGACTTCAAGCCCCCCTCCTCCTTGCAAGCCCTGTGCTCTGGTGCAGGCTTTGCCAAGTGTCTCTGGTTTATTTAGATGCCCAGATCCACACTTGCATTTGTGTTCCATTTGGTGTAGCGGTTAAGTGCGCGGACTCTAATCTGGGAGAACCGGTTTTGATTCCCCACTCCTCCACTTGCACCTGCTGGATGACCTTGGGCAAGCCATAGTTCTGTCAGAGCAGTTCTTGAAAAGGAGCAGTTTCTGTCAGGAGCTCTCTCAGCCCCACCTGCCTCACAGGGTGTCTGTTGTGGGGAGGGGAAGGGAGAGGAGTTTGTAAGTTGCTCTGAGACACCTTTGGGTAGTGAAGGGGGGGGTATAAATCCAATCTCCTCCTCCTCCTCTTCTTCTTCTAGATGAGACCAGTGTTCCCTCTCAGCTGAGTTAGTGTGAGCTAGCTCATGGTTTTTTAGCCTCCGGTTCACACATTTTTGTCTCAGCTCAGGAAGGACAGCTCCAGAGCTAATTTATGCAGGAGCCAAATCGCTCACTCACAACTTTAATGCCGGGAGTTACAAAGCAGAATTTTTGCTCACAGTACTCCACAGCTTAGAGGGAGCTTTGAATGAGACTGGGCTGTTGCGAGTGCATGAAGGGAGGGTGGGCCCTTTTTGTAGAACCAAGCCAGAGAGTGGGGAGCTACAGAAAAACAACCAGTGGAATCACAAACAGATCTGTAGTCAAAACACGCCAAGTACATGCAACAATAATTATGCAGAAACCAAAGTCAATAATAATACCGAAGTCATATATTTTATAGGGGCCGCGGTGCATCAGAGGTTAAGACGCTAAGCTGCAGACCAGACGGTCGGTAGTTCAGCAGTTCAAGACCCGAGTGCCGCATGATGGAGTGAGCTCCTGTCTCTGGCCCCAGCTCCTGCCAACCTAGCAGTTTGAAAGCAAGAAATTGCAAGTAGACAAATAGGCACCACTTCGGTGGGAATGTAACAGCATTCCAGTCACCTCGGCGTTTAGTCATGCTGGCCACGACCACAGAAACGTCTTCAGACAGCGCTGGCTCATCGGCTTGGAAACGGACATGAGCACCGCCCCCTAGTCAGATTCGACTGGCTTTCGAGCAAGGGAAACCTTTCCCTTTACATACATTTTATGGTAGAATCATCAATGTTATAAAGAGCAATTATCAAAAAGTGGGTGGTAGCAAAGTCAGACCCGCAAGAAGTCACAGCACTTCTCCAAAGCAGCAGACTTCTTTCATTAACAGAACAAGCACACAAAAGAAAAGAATTGCTTGTATAAATTTCACATGTCCTTGAATCGAAGACCAAACATCTATATATTGTCGCTTGTGGAAACTAAGTTCCGTCCTAAGTTAAAACCACACCGTTCCGGATAGTCAGTGTTTCGGACCTGGTAAATCAGGTAAGTCTTCATTAACATACAGTAAATACACACGTACAAACGAGGCTCAGCTCTGTACCTCTTTCAAATTGGAAATACCTCTCCCGGATTCTACTATAATAAATAGGTTTGGTATTATTATTGACTTTGGTTCCTATATAATTATTGTTGCATGTACTTAGCGTGTTTTGACTACAGATTTGTTTGTGATTCCACTGGGCCCCTTTTTGTGGCAAACCTGCGAGATGCACTTCGAGGAGGAAGAAGGAAAGGGCACACATCATTTTGAAATAACCGTGTTTTCTTTATGTGTAATATGGAATGAATGCAAAATAGGATGTTAGGGGAAGGGGCTGGGTCTTAGTGGAGCAGCCTCTGCCCGAGACCCTGGAGAGCCGCTGCCAACCAGAGTAGACCATACTGATTTTGGGAGGGGCTGTGGCTCAATGGTTGAGCACCTGCTTGGCATGCAGAAGGTCCCAGGTTCAATCCCCGGCATCTCCCGTTAAAGGGACCAGGCAGGAGGTGATGGGAAAGACCTTTGCCTGAGACCCTGGAGAGCTATAGGAAGGGGCTGTGGCTCAGTGGAAGAGCCTCTGCTTGGCATGCAGAAGGTCCCAGGTTCAATCCCCGGCATCTCCCGTTAAAGGGACCAGGCAGGAGGTGATGGGAAAGACCTTTGCCTGAGACCCTGGAGAGCCGCTGCCAGTCTGAGTAGACATCACTGACTTTGAGGAACTGAGGGTCTGGTTCAGTAGACGGCAGCTTCACTTCACGGGAGGCGAAAATGTTTTACTGCTCTTCTGAGAAAAGTGCAGTGGTTGGGTGGGACTCTCCCTGCTAATTATTGGGGTGTGTGTGTGTGTTCTTATTCCCCATTAACAACCTGAACCCATATGAATAGAAGAGGCCTTAGAACAACAGGGAAACCAAAAGTGGTGGAATTAAGCATGCAGTGGGGCTGGAACAGCCGATCTGACGAGGCGTGGTGGAAAGAGCCCCGCGCGTCTCCTTTGAATGAATTTCTGCCTCTGAGCGCTGCCAGAGGTGGGCAGGTATCGGGGGCACTCCGGTTTGTCGAGCGGAGGCCGCAGTTCCACCGGGAAGGATCTCTCACTGCCTTCTCCGTGCGCTTGTGTCTACCCAGCTTCTACGGCACGGGGCTCATTGCGGGGCACGGCTTCACCAGTCCCGAGAAGACCCCCGGCGTCTTCGTCCTGTTTGACGACGACCGCTTCGGCTTCATCTGGCTCGAGCTGCAGTCGTTCAGCCTCTACAGCCGCATCAAGGTGGCCTTCCAGAGCGCGGAGGCCCCGTCCCGGGAGGCTTTCGACGAAATGCTGAAGAACATTCAGTTGCTGACCTCGTGATGGGGGGGCTGCCCCGGGTGCCGGAGGGAGAGGCCGCTTCCCCCACCCGCCCTTCGATTGGCACGCCGCATGCACTCCCTCGTCCAGAAGGCCTTTTTACCGACATGTGCACACACCCCCTAGAGCATTAATGATATCCCCCCCCCGGCCTGTTGTGTATAGTTTGTAATATAGCGCTGTATATTTGAAAGGCGGCCTGCCGAAGGGCCGCTGGGCCTGTCTGTGCAGTGTCTCTTTTTTTCCCTTTTCTTTTAAAGGGTTTTGTTTGAGTGGGAAGAACAAGACCAGTCGCTTGGCAGGCAGTGTAAATAATTGAACGGCTGTTCCTTGAGAGTGTATATTAAACCTGACGGCCTGCTGGTCTTCTCCCTGGGCAAGCGAGCTGCGGTCTGGGTGATTTTGTACCCCTTGGCTTTTTCTGAACGTCTGTCGCTTTGGAATTGTGATTGTTTTTCAAAAAGGCTGAGCTGCCCGTCAACAGGGCTCTTTTTTTTTTGCAGGGACTCCTTTGCCTATTAGGCGACATACCCCTAATGTAGCCAGTCCTCCAAGAGCTTACAGTAGCCCTTGTAAGAAGAGCTCTGTAAGCTCTTGGAGGATTGGCCACTTTAGGGGTGTGTTGTCTAATATGCAAAGGAGTTCCTGCAAAAAAAAGAGAGAGCCCTGGGAGCTGAAACTGATTCTGTCCACCCTACCCCCTGGACTCATCCCCCCCACAGTGTAAACAGGAGAATAAAACCTTGCATGGCCAAAGTACTTCCCAGGGCCAGACAGGGAGACTCCGTGTATTGCTTCAAGGGCTCGGCATTGGTGAGAGTGAGTAGCCGCAGGGGTCTCTTGCTCTCTGGGGGTCGCTTTGCCTTCTCTGTCTTCTTCCTGCGGAGTCAGGGGGCAGGCAGAGGGTGAGCAAAAGGGGCTCTTGGGACAGTGGACAAGAGAGGGTTGCTTCTCCCCCCTCCCCAAGGCTCCGAGCCTGCAACGTAAGGCCTCAAGTGGCTTGGAGGGGCGGACCCTTTCTCTCCATCAAAGTCATTTGCTTCTCCTCTCCATTCCAAATCAGCCACACGTGCCTCTTGAACTGTGGGAGTTCCCAGGGTCCCTCTTTGCCGTTTGCGTGAGAAAGAGCTGCTCCGTCGAGGGCTGTGACGCTCGCTCACGCAAGCGTCAAGGAGGTGCGGAACGTAAAAAAGACAGGGGGTGTTGGACAGCGTTCAGTAGGTCCGGTTATGTCCTGGGCCCACCCGAACCACGCGTTCCTGGTAGCTGTAGCCTTTCTCCTCCCGTGCAGACACTGTGAAATGCAACCGGTGCCTGGGGGCCTTGTCTCAGACCAGCCCCCCCCCCGCAAGCCTTATTGCCGGCCGCTTGGACCTCTCCTTCCACTTGGGTTCCCATTTAGTTGCGTCTCCCCCTTTTAAGCAGTTGGAACTTCCAAAGTTGTGTCTGATTTGCAGGATCTTCTTGGAACAGTTTTCCCTCTCCCCGGCTGCTCACACCTTGCTGTTACTGCTACCTTGGAGCCCACGTTACAGCTACTCTTGGAGCCTCTAAGTCACCTGTCTTCTGCAAAATGTTCAAGTCCAACAGTCCCCAGCAGGCGAAAGGGAAGGAGGGCCAAGTTCCGACTGGCATGTGCTTGTGAAATCATTGCCTGAATCAACCAAGCTTTTTTTCTTTCTTTCTTAGTTAGAATCATAGATCAGTCACGATTGACACTCATAGTTATCAGCACATTTGCAAACAATAAAATTCCCCGGGAGCCTGGCAGGCTGATTTCAATAGTAGAGACAATGAATAAGAACACTTGACCAGCTGCTTCCTTTAGTAATAACATGGGAATAGTATAAAAACATAAACAAGAGAAAGTTAATAAAATTAATAACATAACATAATGTTAATAAGAGAATCATACAATTTTTTCAGCTAAAATAAGTTTACGTTTCCTAGTAGCTAAGCAACAAAATTTTGTCACAGCGTAAGTTACTGAGCTCTGAACGTCTTCTAAGAGGAATTTACGAAGGACTCCTGGCCTAAAGTCAAGATAGGACTGCAGAGGGCTAAATCTAGACAGAAGGGGTAGTATAAGATGGTCTCGTTCCTCCTGATAGAATCTGCAGAACAGGAGGGCATGAGTAACTGATTCCACCATATTAGCCATACATGGGCATCTACGCTCATGCATTGGAACTCGAGTGAATTTACCTTGCAGTACAGCGGCAGGGAGCGCCTCAAAACGGGCTCTGGAAAAGGGAATCAACCAAGCCACGCCCTGCCAGAGCAATACTTCCAGCAGTGTTCTTGTATCTTTTGTTGTGCCCGGCCATGTCACGCAGCTTTCCTCCGGCAGCCTTTGTTTAGATGCCCCATCGAGAATCGTGGGCTCTCCCCCCAGCACAGGCTTGCAGGAGCAAACGAGAGGGCAAGTGAATCACCTTTCTTTTCCTGGGCTCCAGGGGGAAAGATTCTGTCCTCCGTTGTGATAGCGACACTGTCACGAAATGCATGTTTCGCTCCAACCGCATCAGGTGAGAGGAGCTGTCGTTTGTATGAAGGAGCCACACAGTCCGGCGGATCCAGCGTCGGCCTGGGCTGAATTGCCCCTTGGGTCTCTTCATGGCACGGGCGGCAGTCCATTCACCCCTTTGCAGGATTGGGGCGCAGAATGTATTCTGCAGCCAGACCAGGAGTGCGTGTCCGCTGGCAACTCAGAAAATCAACCAAATCAGTGGGTGAGAGGGAAACTGAGGGCAGGGATGGGGTGGGGTGGGTGGGGAGAGAGGAGGGCCGAACGGGGTACCGGGAGACGGGATCGTAGGGATGGCGGAACGCCGAGGCGGCCAAGCGAACGGATGAAGCAGATGGAGGGAAGGCCAGAGCGTTATTCTTCTCAGTCCAGGACTGAAGTGCAGTGCAGAAGAAAACCTCCAACTCAAGCGCCCTGCTGTTCTTACGTTCTGAGTAACCCAAGTGGGGCTGCTCCAGGCTGGCCGGCGTGGAGGTGGTTGGGCTTCTCAGTTGGGTGGAAAGAGGTTCTTGGCTCCTGTCTGTGGCTGGTTCAGTGGGTTTTACCTGCTCATCAGTGAGCCCGTGGCGTGGAGGTGGTTGGGCTTCTCAGTTGGGTGGAAAGAGGTTCTTGGCTCCTGTCTGTGGCTGGTTCAGTGGGTTTTACCTGCTCATCAGTGAGCCCGTGGCGTGGAGGTGGTTGGGCTTCTCAGTTGGGTGGAAAGAGGTTCTTGGCTCCTGTCTGTGGCTGATTCAGTGGGGTTTACCTGCTCATCAGTGAGCCCGTGGCGTGGAGGGGGTTGGGCTTCTCAGTTGGGTGGAAAGAGGTTCTTGGCTCCTGTCTGTGGCTGGTTCAGTGGGTTTTACCTGCTCATCAGTGAGCCCGTGGCGTGGAGGTGGCTGGGCTTCTCAGTTGGGTGGAAAGAGGTTCTTGGCTCCTGTCTGTGGCTGGTTCAGTGGGTTTTACCTGCTCATCAGTGAGCCCGTGGCGTGGAGGTGGTTGGGCTTCTCAGTTGGGTGGAAAGAGGTTCTTGGCTCCTGTCTGTGGCTAGTTCAGTGGGTTTTACCTGCTCATCAGTGAGCCTGAGGGGCATTGTGTGGAAGCGGCATCCACAAGATGATGTGCCCTCAGGCAACCTTAAGCCACGCTTGTCCCTTTGAAGCTCCGCTCCAGAATCGTGTAGAAGCCTTTGAGAGGTCTGCCTGAAGGTCAGAGGATCGGTGATGCGGCTTTTGGGTGGGAGGGAGGTGTAGCAGAACTGGATGAACAGGCATGTGTCGAGTTCAGTGCCAGGCATGGGGCGTGCCCATCTGCCTGGGCACCCACTGGGCCTTCTGCTGATGGCATCTCCGTTCACGCGATAGCGCAGCTCTGCCGCTGAATGGCAACTGTGGACTTTTTAAGGCTGGCGTGCCGGTGCTGAACGGCATCAGCGCCTATGGCCCTCGGTAGAGGAACACGGGCCGAGAGAGAGGGGTGGCTCTTCTGTGTTTGCATTATGCTGTGAAGTGCCATTTTCTCACTTGGAGGGGCTTGCGGTCTAGATTTGGATCGGGGTGTGTGTGTGTGCAAATGGGAAAGGCAAGCATAAAGGCAGATGAATGCATGCAAAATGCAAGGTCACATACTTGAGCCCTATTCAGGAGGGCGGGCAGTCGGCCTTCAGCTCCGCATACTGGGAGGTGTGCGGCCTTTCCCTCTGTGGGGCTGGCAGCTCTTTTTCAGAAACACCGTTTCATTGGCCCTTCAGACACCCATGCTGCTGTGCTGGACTTGGGGGTGGGGATTCCTCCTGCCTTCCCCTGTAGTGTGTGTGTTTGTGTGAGATGCAGTCGGCAGGAGATTCCAAGATGGACCCATCTGTTTTGTTACCCCCACATCTCTGGAACGGTGCTTCTCGGCCAAGCCGCATGAGGTGTCTGAATTCCGTGGGGCCGATCCTTGGGGAGAAGAACGAAGGTGCCTTGTGTGTCCCCCCCTCCCCCAGGCATTCCTACCGCCTGGCCTGGGGGCTGCCCCGTCCTGGCCAAGACCCGGATCTGGTTCGGGGAGACAAAGACTGTGCTGCTTTCTGGGTGTCACATGGGTGTGCTGCCATCTTTCCTACTTGCTTCTTGTTGCCCAAGAGCCCTTTTCTGATTTCCAATGATAAAAATAAAAAAGGTTTTGAGAACATGAGACTTCTTTTTGTCATTTGAGACCTTCCGGAGGCTGGTGATTTCTCTTTCCCCTGAAGCATCTGCTTGGCATGCAGAGGTTCCCAGGTTCAGTTCCCAGCAGCCTCTTCAGTTTGGTGTAGTGGTTAGGAGCGTGGACTCTAATCTGGGAGAACCGGGTTTGATTCCCCACTCCTCCACTTGCACCTGGTTGGATGGACCTTGGGCAAGGCGTAGCTCTGATAAGAGCTGTCCTTGAAAAAGAGCAGTTTCTGTCAAGAGCTCTCTCAGCCCCACCTACCTCACAGGGTGTCTGTTGTGGGGAGGGGAAGGGGAAGGAGTTTGTAAGCCGCTCTGAGACTACCAAGTGAAGGGCGGGGTATAAATCCAATCTCTTCTCTTCAGTTAAAAGGACCAGGTAGCAGGTGATGGGAAAGACCTTTCTCTGCCCGAGACCCTGGAGAGCTGCTGACAGACAATCCTGACCTTGATGGACCGATGGCCTGATTCAGTATAAGGCAGCTTTGTATGTGTGCAGCTTCCGTTGTACTGGGGTTACCCTGCATTTCCTTGTTTTTGAGGAACAGGACATGAACCAAGCTTCACCTTGCCTTGCCAGTTTGGCGTAGTGGTTAAGTGCGTGGACTCTAATCTGGGAGAACCGGGTTTGATTCCCCACTCCTCCACTTGCAGCCGCGGGATGACCTTGGGCAAGGCGTAGCTCTGATAAGAGCTGTCCTTGAAAAAGAGCAGTTTCTGTCAAGAGCTCTCTCAGCCCCACCTACCTCACAGGGGTGGGGA